GAACAAAAATTGTTTAACAGCAATCGCGTCCGGAACTCTTTCGTTCCGGAATACGACGAGAACGAAAATGTCTCAGGACGAAATTGCAATTAAACTAATTTTTTTCTGTTTTCCCACATGCCAGAGAATGAAAATGCATTGTCAGTTTTTGGCACAGAACACTGTGTGTGCCGGAAATAATTATAAACTGTCTGAGTATGGTGGTATGCACACAATTTTCGGGGAGAGCGATAGTGTTCCGGGACGATATTGCTGTTGAACTAATTTTTTTCTATTTTCCCACATGCCAGAGAGTGAGAATGTATTGTCAGTTTTTGGCACAGAGCGATGTGAGTGCCGGAAATAATTATAATCTGTATGAATGATTATATGTGCGTAATTTTCGGGAAGAACAACTTTCTTATAATGTCATGTCATATTTAACACAAATTTATCTTTTATATGCATTTACATTTATATGAAGTGGTTTTTTTTAAATAAAGGCTATTTTCAATTTTCGCTCGAAGAACACTCCAAACTTCAACGATGTATCAAATCGTCAATACTACTTTCCATAGAGATCTTTCGATAAAAGATCATAACAAATTATTTCTAGCTATTGCAGCAGTTACAGCCAAAATGATTCGTCGATGTTCCTCCATTTTAAATTAAATATTACTTGGGAAGCGTTCAGCGACATTCGATACTCGAGAGCACATTATTCCTCTACTACCTTCCCACTAAAACCACTAAAGAGTGATGTTTTTAAACACAGCTCTGATCATTACACCCACGTAGAACGCTGCATTCACTGTTCGTTCTTCAAGAACGAATTCCTTGTGAATGTTTCCTCTAAATTCAAGAAAAGCCACCAACATTGTCTTCGCTCTTGATTTTTGGAAGCGAATTTTCTTTGCCTTCGGCGAGACCAACCTACTCCGCGCTCTGCCCTTCCGTTCCTGGATCGTAGAAGAAGCGCCAAGATTCGTCGCCTGTGATGATTTTATTAAAAAACTCTGAATCGTTTTCTCGCATTTGAAGAAGATCCTGACAAGCAGCCACGCGCTTCTCCTTTCGCTGTCAGCGCGCGCGGAACATAATGTGTACACAACTTCCTTTTTCTCAAATCCTCGTTGATGATCGTACGGACACTTTCTTTATCGATGTTTAATTCGCGAACAATCTGATTGTCAACCAATGGTCGTCTTTCAGTAAAGCGCGGGTAGCTTCGATGTTCGCCTTAGTTCAGCTGATGCGCGATCATCACTGACACTTCATCCTCTCGTCAACCTGAATACTCTCTCTATCGTCTTGAAATTTACCAAACAACAAAAACATATCCGACCGAAGCAAATACTTCTCACCATTATGCGTTCTACATCATTTGATAAATTTCGGCAGCAGTTTTACCATTTTTAAAACAAAATCTGTTCGCACATCTTTGTTCCATGAAGTATTAGGTCAATCGGAAAGTTCCGTCTGTTTCCTTGCAAAACGTATGGCTTTATTTAAGAAACAAAATGAAAACGTACATCAATCAAAGTATTATCCATTGTTAGCGATGACTTTTTTCCATCTTTCGGTCAGCAAGCGAATTCCGCGGCGAAAGAATGACTCATCTTTGGAGGCTATCCAGTCAGAGACCCATTTTTCGACATTTTCATAAGAATTGAAGTATTCCTCAGCAAGTGCGTGTGCCATCGACCGAAACAAGTGGTAGTCGGAAGGGGCACAGTCTGGTGAATAAGCCGCATGGAATAACACTTCCCAGCGAAGTGCTTCTAACGTTTCCTTGACAGATTTTGTGACGTGAGGCCGAGCGTTGTCATGAAGCAAAATCACTTTATGCTGTTTCGTTTCATATTCTAGTCGTTTTTCGTGTAATGCTCAGCTCAAACGGATCGATCATTTGTTCTCTGTAGAGATCTCCTGTGACTGTTTGACCACTTTTCAACAGCTCATGGTACAGCACACCCTTTTGACCCCACCAAATATAGAACATTGCCTTCTTTCCGTGGATATTCCGTTTTGGCATCGATGTTGAGGGTTGGCCGGGGTCGCAAATACTTTTTCGATGTTACAGGTTGTCAAAATAAATCCATTTTTTATCCCCAGTGATGATACGATGTAAAAACCCTTTTCTTTGTTGCCTAGCAAGCAGAATTTCGCAGGTGGTTTTTCGCCTTTCAATGTCTCTTGGCTTCAGTTCATATGGGACCCATTTTCTTTCCTTGTAAACCTTTCCTAAGGCTTTAAAACGGTCGAAAATGACAGATTGAGCACAATTTAATGCTTCTGCAAGTTGCTTTTGTGTTTGACATGGGTCTTCGTCCACTAATGCCTGCAGTTTTTCATCTTCGAATACTCTTGGCCGTCCAGAACGTTTTTTGTCCTCTATATCAGAATCGCCAATTTTAAAGCATCGAAACTATTCTCTGCATGTTTTATCGGAAGGAGCCTTATCACCATAAATTTCTACAAGCATTCGATGATCTTCAGCTGCAGTTTTCTTCCAATTGAAGCAAAAGATTAACACTTCGCGCAAATGACGCTTATTTGGCTCAATTTTCGACATTTTCGATGCAGTGAAAAACAATGTTATTGATGCAAACGTATACTTTTATGTACTGAATGTTATTGACAGATGTGAAAACAAACTATTAAGCTTTGTTTAGACATTAGAGGTTAACGACAGTTCTAGCTATAGCTACTTGTCGTTAGACGGACGAAACTTTCGGATTTACCTAATACAATTTCATGACAAACACAAATAACACACGACACACAAAATGTAGTATTTTGGTGAGAACTCAACGAAAATTGATGCAATTTCTATTTAGAAGACTTTGGACTATATGTTTTCGTTTGCCATACAGATAATGCCACTTACATCGTTTCTATTACATCAGTCCTAACTAAATAGGTTTAGTACCTCGGCACGGCACACTTTTTGTACATACATTTATTCTTCAATAAACTAACACCAGTCCTAAAATTTTCAGCCATACTAATTATTTAAGTTGGATATATTATACATGGTATATTGCCATTATAATATACAGAGTGTCCGGTAATTAGTTGCCAAGTGTGAAGGTAGATCGGTTTAAAACAAACATAAAAGTCCTATATCGTTTTGCGAGATTCGCAATAATTATCGAGTTATTAATGACAGAAATCTTTGTGCCACATTTCATACTTTGTGTCACATTTTTGTAATTCATAGAAAGATTTTAATTTGTAATATTCTCTCTCACAGAAATGACTAGTACCATTTAACGATGTGATGGTTTAGTTTCTTCTCATTGACGGGCTGTGTTCCTGAATCTGAACTTGATATCCCAGGATCTACCGCGACTTCGTTTAATTTGAAACCTGCTACAACCGGTAACACATCAAATCCAGAGTGAGGACATACGTTTTGGACTAGCCGGCTTACTAAAGGAAACGAGAGCGATCGTCGCCAATTGGGCCACCGTCACTAATTGGGACGCTCACCTTGCGCGCGGACGTCTCGAAAAAGAAAAAAGAAAATACGAAGAACTCAATATAATATGCAGTCTCTTGGCGACGCATCGCCTAGGATCCGTCGCGATCACAACGCGGCGGTTTATAATAACGGCGTTTGATACATTTAGCGTGCACACGCCGGCCGTATTGAAATTTAAACCCGTTTCATTCACGCCCGATCGCACAATAGTACGCGCGTTGCGAGATATAACTTTATAATGTTCGTCAATATAGGCATGTGCGGCGGACGGTTTAATGAATACAACGGACGTAACAGAGATGAAAATGCGTGCCACCCCCTCGTTTCCGTTATTGAAAAATCCTGCGAAGCGTTCTCTCTTCCTTCCCTCTCCCCTCACCATCTCACTCGCTCTCTCTCGCTCCACCACGCGCGTGCAGCGCGGTTCTCCCCCGATTCACGCGCGGCTCATTGTAAGCGTCGCCAATCGCGCATATCCCGGACGTGTATCACGGGCGTGCGGCGCGATGTACAATGCGACGACGGTCGTCGCAGATGATAATAGGCCGCGCGTCTATTATCGAGGAGGAGCCAACGGAGGCGGTAGGCGCGCCGATGAAATGGAACGCGCGAGTTTGCGGCTCGCTCCGCGACGTCTTTTAGGAGCAGCGGGACGCGAGAAGACGCGCGAAGTTTCAGAAAGAGAGAAAGAGACAGATAGATAGAGAGATAGATAGATAGATAGATAGATAGATAGATAGAGAGAGAGAAAGAGAGAGAAAAAGAGAGAGAGAGAGAGAGGGAGAGAGAGAGAGAGAGAGAGAGAGAGAGAGAGAGAGAGAGAGAGAGAGAGAGAGAGAGAGAGGCCCGCTCAGCGGTCGGAGAAGGCGAAAGCATGAATCGCAGATCGCGAGCGCGCTGCGGACTCGAGTCCCCCTCGATTTAGACCGACGAGAGCGAGGCTCGTGCTCAACGACGTCGTCGTCGACGACGACGTCAGCGGAGGCTGCCGCAGCGGCACTTGACGGCGCCCACGACGAAGAGCAGATCGACGGGGCCGCGCTGCGTCGGCGCGCGGGAGCGGCGAGGAGAGCGAGAGAGAGAGAGACAGAGAGAGAGAGAGAGAGAGAGAGAGAGAGAGAGAGAGAGAGAGAGAGAGAGAGAGAGAGAGAGAGAGAGAGAGAGAGAGAGAGAGAGAGCGAGACGCTGCGACGTCGACGTCGTAGCGCGCGCCGCATATCGCCTCGCCGTCACTGACGTCGTCCGACGCCATCGCCATCGTCGTACGTGTACCATCGCCGCGACGATCGCTCACTGACTTCACGAAGGTGACGAAGGAACGCGCGCCGAAGGAACAAGCGGACGAGCGGGAGCGGGTAACGCGAGAAAGCGGGAAAGGGGGAGAGAGAGAGACACTGAGGAATAAAGAAAGATACCGGAGGTCGGGACTACGGTGGAGGACGTTCTTTCTCGAGGGAGACGCGCTCGTCGTCCGTTGTCGAACACCATCGCACGGCAAGAAGAGACCCAGCGGTACGCGCGCGCGCGCGCGCGCGTTCTATTTCTCTTTCTCTCTCTTTTTCTCTGTCTCTGTCCCTCTCTCCCTGTCTCTTTCGCCGTCGCGTGCCGGAACATCGACGACCGTACACACCTGGACACGAATGATGGCATCCTCGTGTGCTTGCAAGAAGACATAGCAGAGCCGACCACGGGAAACCAACCGGAGAATTCGCGTGGACGGTTCGTATCAGCCGCGCGAAGCGACGTCTCGCCGCGAGTCGTTCACTCGGGGTGTCGCCGACGAACATCGCGAGCTCGGCCCCCCAGGATGATGTCACCGGGAATTCGGTGGATGTGACAGACGAGTCGTGCTACGAGCTAGCTACGAGGAAGAGGACATCGTGGGGCTACCGTCGGCGCGAAAGCCTGCCGGAGAAAGTAAGCCTTCTGTTTCTCTTTCTCCCTCTCTCTCTTTCTCTCTGTGTCTCTCTCTCTCTGTCTCTCTCTCTCTCTCTCTCTCTCTCTCTCTTTGTCTCTCCAACATCCCTGACTCGAGTGTCTCTTGCATTGATCCTCGTGGCCACAGCTGAGGAGGATGAAAACGGCCGGTCGGTGTCGACCTACAACGATGAGACCTCGTCGTACGCTTCGTCATACGTGAAGGGAGAGTGCGAGAGAGCGAGAGAGAGAGAGAGAGAGAGAGTGAGAGAGAGAGAGAGAGAGAGAGCGAAAAGAGAGAAAGGGGAAGGAGTGAGAGACGGAAGAGAGCGAGAGCAAGAGAGCACGCCCTTGCGCGGCTCTCTCGGAAGAGGGCGGTGGAGGGCGATTTGCTCTCTCGCCGCTCGTTTCGGCTCGGCAGCTCGGCACAGCGGTCCCCCACATGACGCCCCACTTAGGCCGCTAGGGCAGCAGGCGCAATCGCCGCCACTGGTCACCGGTGGCGGTGACGAAAAGGGGCTGATGTCAGTGCGGCCACTCGGCGGAGTTCAGTTGGATCGTCAGTTCGGATGCGAGAACACGACAACACCGTGCACGCACGCATTGGCGTCGACGTACCGCGAACGGGGCGAGCAGGACTGCTTGCGAGGACAAGGACGAGGACGAGGACGACGACAACAGCGACAACGAGGAGGACAAAAGCGAGCTCAGCGGCGGAAGCGGCTACGGAGAACACGGTGATGCTCGCGGCAGTGGCCGCGAGCAGCAAGAGCAACAGCAGCGAGTGGTGGCAATCGGTAGTGGTGGTTCGGCGGAGAGTCGCGCGGCTAGCGAGCGCGACGAGGAGGACTAGGAAGACGAGCGGCGAGGAGCATCTTCTGACGCGCGCGATCGTGGCTGCGTTGGTCGCGTCGGCAGGTCGAACCGAGTGGCGCAGCCCGAGAAATAATGCGTGTTAGGCACGAGGACGACGACGACGACGTTAAGACGCGCCGAGTACCGAGACGACGACGACGGTACGACGCGAGTAGTAGTGTGCCATCATCGACGACGAGGAGGACGACGAGGAGAAAGAACGGCGGAGAGAACAACAAGTCTCGAAGACCACTGCTATTACTATCGCAACCGCAGCAGCTGCAACGGCAGCGCAATTATGCATGCGTCGTATGGTACCGAGATCACGTAGTGGCCGGCGTGTAATTATGTTGTCATCGCGCGGCGCAACCTGTGCGGTAAATATTCACAGTGAAAATCTGGCGTGAGCGGTTCCGCGGTAGAACGGGGAATATGGCGTCGGTCTCGGCCGAGACTCCAGCCAGCCATGGGCACAGCTTCAGTAAGAAGACATTTCACAAACCAACGTACTGCCACAGCTGCACGGACATGCTCTGGGGCCTGATACAGCAGGGGTACATCTGCGAGGGTAAGGCTTATTCTGCGAGCGACGCGGCGAACATGTCGCTCGAGCGATGCCAAATACGAGCGTAGTTAAGAGAAGTGAGAATGAGAGAGAAAGAGAGAGAGAGAGGGGGGAGAGACCAGAGCAGCAGCGGCAGTAGCTTTTCTAGATACATCTCCGCAGGGAGTAGCGCACGTATCTCTCGATTGTCGTCTTGTCCATGCTGGAGTGTGCGCAAAAAGCTCCGAGCGAACAGCGCGAGAGCGTGCTCTTCGGGGGGCACTCGTGAGCTCCTGAGAGTCTCGCTCTCTGCACGTCCGTTTTCACAGCGAGTTACCCCACGAGCCTCCGTTGCTCCCTAGGTCTATTATCGTCTATCCTATCGCGTGATTGCCGTTGCGGAAAGGGAAAAACAACTGATGGCGGAAAAACGAGATCAAAGAGGAGGGAGCGACGGAAAGATGTCGATCGTCGCGGAAAGGCGCGCTCGTTAAAATTTCAAGCGAGAGCGCTTCCGACAAGACCCATACACACACACATACACACACACACACACACCGTCGATCGATAGTCGCGACCGCGCTCGGTAACGGAGCGATAATCGCGCGCTTGGAGAGTCCCTCGTGCGGTAAACAGGACGAGATTATCAGCGATCGACCGCTAGCGATTCGCCCATTCGATGAATGGCAGGGTGACTTAGGCTCGCGGAGGGTTGGCTGCTGAACAGGGGTGCGTTTGTTTCCTCCTTGAGTACTTCGCGGGGTTGCGATATTCTCTGCGCGCTGGCGCCCATTCGTGATGAACGAACAACATGCGCCAACCGTGGTAATAGAGCGTGAGAGTCGGAGGGGGGGGGAGATTCGCACGGAGAGAAAACATCAGGGGTGACGGCTGGCAGAGGGGTGAAGGAGGAGGTGGAGGCAGTGGCGACGACGACGATGTACGTGGATTGCGCGCAGAGGGCGCGAGTGCGAACATGCGCCTACATTTTCACGAGCATTGATCGCGAGGGGTGGGGTAGTACGGCTGAGAAGACTACGGATAAGGTTGCCCGAATGGCGAAGAGGGGTGCGGGCACTCCGCGGTAGCGGCGGTGGTGTCCGGTGGCAAAGAGGGTTGTCTCGAGGTGGGGGCAAGTGTGAGAGCTCGCTGACAGGCAAATAGGCGTAAAGAAGCTTCGTTGTAACGCCGCGTACCGAATGAGCCATGTTCCGCTCTGCATTCTTTTTAGGATATATTGGAACGTTCGATCGCGCGCGCGCGCGCGTGAGAGAGAGAGAGAGAGAGAGAGAGAGAGAGAGAGAGAGAGAGAGGGAGCGTTATTTATTCAGCGCTCTCGGGTGAGCCCACGAAAATAACATGAAATTGTAGATAATCGTTGCAGCGGGTGGTTGATTTTCTCCTATAGACGAGGATGATGAGGATGACGGTGGGGGTGATAATTGCAATGGTTGTTGTAGCAATGATGATAATAAGAGTATATGAGAGCCGAAAATATGTAGATATTTATCATCATTGCTACAACAGCCATCGCAATCATCACCCCCACCACCGTTATCCTCATCATCCTTGTCTATAGGAGGAAATCAACCACCCACTGCAACGATAATAGGGATAGTAGGGAGATAAGGAAAGTGATACAGATAATAAAGATAAAAAGATGCTAACGAGTTGAATCAGCATATATCGCTACGTCCTACCGATGATTGATAAAATAAAATTTCGGAGGGTCGAATTCGGTCTTAAGAAACCGGAAATTGTGTCCCCCGTCAAGTCGAACGCGTTTGATTCCTCTATTGTCATGCTAATTTACCCAACTTCCTCCTTTTCGTGTACGATACAGTTCTCATACGTCTCAACCTGCTCGTGCTTTTTATCTTGAGAGCAAGACCACTCTGTACCGTGGCAATATAACCTCTAAAAATCGCTTGAGAGATTTGATCCTATTTTGGTAGAGCAAGTTAGTCGTCAATCGCACACTGGTGATCCTGATCGTTTCAATATCACTGAAAAAAAGGAACAACCCGTTTAAAATATATCAAGCGCGATATTGGCGACTATATCGAATCCTCCGCAGAGGATGAGATTGTGAAAGTAGTGTACAAATATTTCTAGGGATGTAAGTAGATTTAGTAAATTCTCTCTCTCTCTCTCTCTCTCGCTGAAGGTTTACTCAACGCGAGTGAAACGTTCAGCGAATGTTCAGGTTCAGGTTCAGGTAGACTCCGCTTGTCCTAGCCCAGAACGAATCTTTTGATACGCGAGCGATGCTTCTATCGTCCGACGAGAGTCTCGGCCGTCTTGAGAGAGAGAGTCTGTGCGAGTCCTTTCACGGACAGAAGTTCCTACGTCGAGTAATTTTTATGAATAAAAATTAATTCCTTGATGCTATAATTCCTTGATGCTTGCGTTATGTACGCATCTGTACGATATATGGTGGTCGAAGGTCTGATATTTATCGGATAAACGCAGCGAGCTCTATAGTATATTGGAGTGAGCCTTCGAGAGATATCGAACTATAGCAAAATATTAAGTCCGCTCGTTTCAGCCGTGCTTCTTTTATACTTGATTCTTTTCTTTCTTTCGTTGAAATATCTTGCTATGCATCTGTTTTATTTCAAGTATTGAAGATGCTAGCGACAAAGCTGATAGCGATTTAAGCAGCATCCACTTGTCTCCTTGAAGGCTCTCACTCCGGTATATTATACAGAGTTCACTGGATAAACGATCACGCGGGTTATATGCGGTTGTGTCGTCACATATCGATGCTGCCAATTAAAAAGCATGTCCATACTGCGGACAGTGTTTTATTAGGTTATCTTTTATTTCCCCTCCCAAAAAAATACGAGGCTCTTGCACTTATTAATAGCCGCGCATGCTGCGGGAAAAAATTTCAGGAGAAAAAAGCTGTAGTCGCGCTAGCTGCGGTGCTAGTCCACCTCTCAAAGACAAGAAGTTATTTTTAGTAAGCCGGAAATGTGTGATACACACGTACACGTGTACAGTCGGAGAATGATTAGAGGTTGCAACACTTTCCCTCGATGAATTTTGTGATGTGGCCCGTTGTGCGACGGTTTGCTTTTTGGCAACCTACGGGAAACACACTTTTCCGCTGCATAAGAGATGCATGACCAGGCTCGTCGAGATGAAGTGTCGTGTCTTTTAATCATCCGATTGTAAAGAACGTGATGAATGCCTTAATAATGGCCACGAATGAACTCTTCCGCGACAAACGCGAGGCAACGCTCTGTCGACGTGCTGTGTGGCGATTAGAGCTGATCGACAAATGCTGCCGATGATAGAGGAATATTACGTGGAAAACGTGATTTCCATATTTATATGGTATACATATCTGCACAGAGTTGTGTTTTCAAACGCAGCTCTACAAAGGATCAACGTTCAGCCTTGCTCGAGTCGAGATTATACAGCATCTACCTGTCGCTCGCGTTTTCTCCGGCAACCTGTTAGAAATATATAGACGCGAAATCAACATCGCCGAGGCAATGTTCCTTGCGAAAGAACTGATAGATTTTTCCGCTTTTTTCTACATTCGTCCACCGTGCGAACTCTGAGCGTCTTCCAGCGCTTCTCGCTGACGGATTCCCTTTCTCGTGATGATGACAAATATTTCTTTTCGATTTATAAACTACCCACTCGAAGAGTTAAAGTTAACTCGACATTCGTGACACGACGGTCGATCGTCGATGGTGTTGGCCGATGGCGTCTTCTTAACGAGGCGGATGCATAATACTATTTCGGGATACACCTGCGCGTCGATGCGACAAATTTCCCACATCTTGCCTGATTAGCGCCACAAGAGCGCGGCGAGGCTGCTCGATCATTATTGCCTTCGCAGAAAATATGCGAAAATGTATGCCATCTCGGATTTCTCCATTTTCACGCCAGTGATATAAAAATATCTCAGGCTATTGAACTTCTTCAGAGAATTCGTCAAATACTTTCAAAAGTGGATGAAGCGCATTATTCGCGAAAGAGCATGTTCGTTCGTGAACGAATCGAAGAAACGCGTGACTTCATACGCGACGATTGTTTAGGAATCACTATTTAGGAGAAACTTCACCTTAGCCTCCACACAGAAATCTCATCAACCGCTGAATAAACACCTGCGAGCACGATTGACGTTGGAGGTATCGAGCCGGAAGACTAACAATTTTTGCTAAATCACGTACGATTCTCGGCGTTTCTGCCCACATCGCGAAAAGGTCAGATCTTGTTATAAATTACGTCACGAGTGGATGATATTGATTTATATTGCGAAGTGCATCACTGCTTGGTCGGTAATGTTATTTCATATTTCTCTGTACGATACAACCTCACACGGTCTCTCCCGTGTGCATTTCTCAGTGCCTCGGAAGTTCATTCCTTTTCTGTTGTAGTGTGTAACTTCGTGGTGCACGACCGCTGTCTCAAGGCCGTCGTCTCTCCCTGCTCCAGTATCGCGGCAAGCCTGATCAAGGTAAGGTACACACTGCGTCATGTGTACCATTATAGCCAGAGTTATTTATGCGATTTTCGACCCTATGCGTGTGCGTGTAAGACTGAGAATCGTGTAACTGCTGAACTGAGGAATGTCAGGGCATACATCAACTGTGAATTGCGAGAAAAATATATCGTTTTCAAATCAATAGCGTATAATGTTGTATCAAAAATTACACGCTGAATTCTACGAATTGCAAGAAGCGTTCTTGTAATACAACTTGCTTTTGACATAGCGTCATGCGTCATTGGCCGCGTTCAGCAGAGAAAGCTGCTTACTAAGCGCTTAGTGATTATTATCTATGATTGGAGTATTCTTTTAGATCTTTAACAAATCTAGGGGAATGAACCAATCAGGAATGATAATCATTAAGCGCTTAGTAAGCAGCTTTTTCTGCTGAACGCGGCCATTGCTTCGGTAACAACATTTTGTTTTCACAATCAACGACAAATAAAATTGTATTAAGTGTTTATGCTCGTGATTGTACCTCTCTATGAGATTTCAAATTTATCGAAAAATTGTAGAATTGTGTCACTCACGTTAATTTCTTCTTCTAACTGTGATGTTCGAGAACAACAGTATTACTTGCTCAACTGTTGCGGTAGCTTATTTTACATAATTACAAAGTACATGTATATTATCACAACATGCAGCGAATATGTAACAGTTCTCCTATATTATTGTAGAATCCTGTTGCACATTGCTGGTCTGAACAAGTACATCAGAAAAGGAAATTCTGCAACGTCTGTCGAAAACGATTGGATGATAATCTATCCATACATTGCGAAAGTAAGACAACGTTTGTGCATAACTAACTTGGCATCGTTATGCTTCATAATTAAAAATGTTTGCATCATGTCTCTAAACCTAATATGTCATGGAATTTTTTCTTATGTAAAACCTGTCATGTAAATATCTGTTGTAAAACGAGGAATCATTCGTTTACCGTAGTATGCGAGTACTTCGTGCACATAGAATGCCAAGACTTCGCATTGGCAGACTGCAAAGAGAACGCTACGTACTTTCTTGGGAAGGATCTAGCAGCGGTAAGACACACTCACCATTGGCGGGAAGGCAACCTTCCAAGCAGCTCGAAATGTGCTGTATGCAAGAAGGGTTGCTGTTCTGCCGAGTGCCTCTCCGGATTTCGATGCGAGTGGTGCGGCATGACGGTAAATATTTCTTAGTTAAAGAAAGCATGTTGAGTCTTTTTGAAGATATCCAAGTTTATCGTTGCCTCTTTCTCACGATGCCGGTTAGTTCTCTCGACGTATGCTGTACAAGCTTACAATGTGTCATAAGCGACTGTCATCGCAAGGATCGTGAATTTTAAGAATTGGAAGTTATCTATGGACAAATTTACTATAATGCTGACGGAAAGGTGTCAAAACCAAGAAAACGATAAGCGATAATTAATATATGTATATTTTATACATTTAGAACAATTTAAATCTATATTAAAAACAATATGATCATGTCGAGTTTGAATTTTGACAATTTAAATATTAAAATTTAGGGAAGAATATACGGAAATTATAAAATGGATATACAGTCGTGGACAAAATTAAGTGGACAGGTATCATAAATAACAAAAGGTTAATTTAATTTAACTAATAATGTCAAACAATCAAACCTCTATTGCTTATTTAAATTAACGAAATATAATTTGACAAAATATAAAGAAAAACCAATTGTAACAAATAATATATTAGAATTTTTATTGATTAATGATAATAACATAAAACTGCACATGGTCAAAATTAAGCGAACACTTTATACAAAGTAAGTATTAATACTTTGTATTGTAGCCTTTTGCTTTTATTATTGCTTGTAAACGTCGCGGCATACTTTTAACCTTTTCCAGATAATGTTTATCAATTCTTTGAAATTTTAGTTGCAATTCATTTAACAACTCTTCTTTATTATTGCGTTTTTCTAATCGAATCTCTGCATCCAGTAAACTCCATAAATTTTCGATTGGGTTAAGGTCCGGACTTTAAATGGAGGCCATTCAAGAACTTTTGTTTTACAATTCTGGAAAAATTGTTTCGTTTTCTTTGCTGTGTACTTCGAATCATTGTCTTGCTGAAACATCCATTCCCTAGTGGGATTCATTTTTAGAATTGATTCTTCTAAGTTTTCATTTAAAATGTCAATTGATTTATCAGCATTCATGATTCCATCTATATAGCTACTAAATTTCCAATCCCATACCACGAAAAACAAGCCCATATTATTATTGCACCTCCTCCATACTTGACTGTTGGTACAACATATTACTTCTTTAGAGCTTCATTCGGTTTCCTCCGCACGTGTGCTTTTCTTTTTTATTCAATAATTCAAATTTACTTTCATCGCTCCATATTATTCGTTTCCAAAATGACGATAGCTTATTTACATATTTTTTTTGCAAAAGCTAAACGTTTCTTTTTATGCATTTTATTAATATATGGTTTACGTCTACTTACACAACTTTTTAAACCCACCTCTTTTAATCTTCGTCTCACAGTTCTTGAAGATATGTTTAATAGTAGTTGTTCAACAATGTTTCGTGACGTCGTCGATGGGTTACGTTGAGCTTCTCTCACAATTCTTCTGTCATCGTATGCACTTGTGTTACGTCTCCATCCCCGACCATGTACATTTTCGACAGTATTATGTTGTAAATATTTTGTATAAATTTTATGAACTGCGCTTTTCGAAACTTTATATTTTTCGGCTATTTTACGATAACTTAGCTTATTTTTGCAGTTTGAAATAATTAAGTTTTCGCAGATAAACGGAAAATTCTTTCCTTTACTTAGACATGTCTGTTTATTAACTTTGATTGTACTGATACAAGGATCAATGGTACACTCAGGACACAATAACATCACATATTAGGTAAAGCTCAATGTTTGTTTATATTATTCCACTTTGAATATAAAATTTTCTGTTTGTCCACTTAATTTTGTCCAAGGTCTAAATGTTAACCATATAAATAAATATATGTAAACAGTTACAGAAACACTGTTTTTACAATTATATATACTAAATTAATGTTCCTTCATGTCAACAAAAATATTTTACGTTCAAAATTTAAAATTTATTTATAATGTTGGAATGAAACAGAGGTTTGCCAAAATTTATGCAGTGTCCATTTAATTTTGTTCATGACTGTATATATACAGGGTATTCCATGGGAAACGAATCAGCTGTCATTTTTAAATGTATGCAGTTATTGAAAAAACAAAAATTGCGTTGGAAAGAGGAAAGTCTGCAGTTTCTAATGGCTGTAAATAAAATTTAGCAAAATGTTTGTACATTAGTTTATTTTACTGATGAAAGTAATATTAATAATCAAGTAAGCTAATGATAAATATTTTCAAAGTGTGTACAATCTGAATTTGTATAAAATTCAATTCTTTTACGAAAATTCTTTTACTTGTAAAAACTTTTTCTAACATGTTTTCAATGTCGCTGACGACCTTTCTAATAGCTATTACTAAATCTGGCAGCATCTGACATATCATGTTTACGGTCTTGAAGAGTTCCACATTGCATAAAATTATCGATAATTCTGATAAAAATAACATAAGAAATTATTTTAATGCAGATTTATTGTCCAAAAATGGAGTGTAATACATAAGTTTAAAACAAATAATGAATTCTAACCTTCTCAGTCTGTTTTCGCTCATAACTTTATATGTCCCGTATTTAGTACGAAATTCCCTATAAGCACTGCTATAGATTTTTCCTCTGGAAAAGAAACATATCGATAAGATAGATCTTTTCTTTCGTCGTTAGATTATTTATTTTAACACATACGGACTTGCTTCTACCACAGCCAGAATAAAATTGCAGACCCTCAGGTGGACGACCGTTAACCGTAAGATTCTTTCTGAAGTCATGAAGGCGAGAACCAATCGTTTAGTTTCAGCACCTTTCCGTGGGATACTCTGTATATCTTTTAATTTTCACATGTATATATGTCACGACGACAAAATAAAGTGATGGAGAAAAAAAGATAAATTAAAAAAACAAAACAAGAAGAGAGAATAGAGAGAAGATATCAAGGAAGATTAAAAGTAGAATTAAAAGTGAATGATAAAAATAGAAAATTATGAGAGCTAATGAGAGAGAATGACAATGGCGTTACGTAAAGAAAGCTGTTGTAAAATTGATAAATCCAGAGTATATTCTTAGATTCAGCCGAGATTAAGAGCACGATATCAATCAGATTCAATAATGAATTTAATCGTTGCAAAGTAATTTTCTCTGTTAAATACAATTAATGAGTTAGAGAAAACAAGTGAGAATGAAAGGAATAAGAGAATGAAAGGAAATAAGAGAATAAGTATGTGTTGCAAGACAAAAAGGAAAGAGGGAGTGAGAAGGAAATTCAATATGAACAGATGAGAAAATAAAAGAGATTGAGAAATAATAAGGAAAAATGAGAAAGAATAAGGAAGAATGAGAAATAAGAAGAGAGAATATGTTCAAAGAAGGAATACAAAATAAGAGATTAATAGAGAATAAGAAACAATAAAGATTCTAAAAAAAAAAAAATAAAAAACCAGTGTGTAAAAGAGAATTAAAAAAGAAAAAATATATAATTCAACAAAAGAAAATAAAAAGGAATGAGAAAGAGTAACTAAAATAAATCGTAATGAGAGAGATTAAAAAACGAATGAAAATAAAACGGGATAATAGAGAATGAGAAAAGTTGAATTAGAATAAGATCAAGATAAAAATGAATAAAAGAATAAAAATTAGAAAAAGAACGGGAAAACAAGAAGAATTAGAACAGTGAATTAGAAAAGTTAAAATAGAACGTGAAAAATTGAGAAAAAATTAAGAGAGAATTAGAAGGAAAATGAAAAACATGAATAAGAGAATAAGAGAACATGAAAGAACACGAAAAAGAAGTGGGAGGAAGTAATGAGAATTGAAGAGAAGTAAAAGAAAATGAGAATCAAAATGAAAGAATGAAAGAGAACAATAAAAAGTGAGAAAGACTGAAAGCAAAGGGAGAAAATTAAAAGGGATTAAGAAAGAACGCAGGGATATGTTAAAGAATGTGAAGAGTTAAAAAATGATAGAGAAAGTAGTAAGTAAAAATATAAAATATGATAGGATGAGAAAGATTTGGAAAGAAGAATAAGTATGAGGGAAGAATAAAAATAGGGTAGAAAGAGAATGTGAGAGAATAAGAGAAAATGAGAATAGATAAGAAGAAATTTGAGGAGAATGAGAAAATACGAAAGGCTAAACAAAATTTGGAAGAAGGGATGAAAGACACAGAGAAAGAGAGAAATTTCTAAGGAGATGAAATGGCAAAGAATAATAAAGAACAAGGAAAATTGAAAGCGAATGATAGAGAAGAAGAAAAATGAGGAAAGATTGGAACAGAACGAGCAAACAGAATGAAAGTAAATAAAGAATGTTAATGAGAAAATGAGGAAATAAAAGATAAATGATGTAGAAAGAGTGCAAGAGGGGAGAATAAAAGAGATTGAGAGATAATGACATAAAGTTAAATGGCACATACGCAGCGTGTGCTTGTTATGTCCCAGTCTTATTAAATTGATTTTGCTCTTATTTCCACGACCAGCTTTTTGTTAATAGAATTAAATTGAGGCATTAACATTATCATTAATTTAGTATCTAGAATTATATTATGTTAGCATATCTTGCATAGATTTTTTCTCTCTCCCTCTCCCTCTCTCTCTCTCTCTCTCTCTCTCTCTCTTTCTCTGTTCTTGGGACAGTCAATTTAACTATAAATATGGTTTATGGTCTCTCTTAGTTACACGCGTATTGTTACAAGAATATTCCTCAAGAATGCACTTTCGGTAATTTGGAGCCAATTTACCTGCCACCACATGCAGTTAGTATTCCGCGCACCGAAGTTCCCATGGAAGCCATCATCGGTGTTCAAGTGCGTCGTAAAGAAGTGCTGGCGCGTGAGTATTCTTGTCGTAAGTGTCTGTCGTGTAATTATGATGTGCGTGTTAACAGGTAATTAGAATAATGGAATGAGGAATTGCGCTTCATTACGTGCCGCGAAGCACTTTAATATTTTGTTAATCAACACAAATATACTTTGGTCAATGAAGCAGCTCTTATTCACAAGAGAATAGTTTGAGCTAATTGATAGGCTAAAATAACAGAAATCTCTTCCCATTCTAACGAAATAATAGGCACTTGATATTGTAGCTGTATAAATACATCAATGCTGTACATATGAAACTTGTTTGAAGTCTGTGTCAAAATGCGTAAAGTGGATGCTCGCATTGACAATTACCAATGCATGCGGTTATTGTAGGTACACACGTGGTCGTTTATGATTTTGTTTGCGCTTCGTGTATATAACGCGCGGAAAAATGAGCTGTTTTCGAACTGGAAGATGAGCCTATATTTCTACAAGCAATATCGATACACTGATGAAACTCAGATAACAAATAATGGCGATAAGATGTTACATTGAAAGCTTTCTTAGCTGCTTCGTTCAAATAAATATTTCATTGATTATTGCGTTTTTACTTGCGCATAGTAAATTCCACGATTGATTGGCGCTTTATGACATTGTTTTACTCTGTATTTCGTTTCTTCTTTTTCAAGCACAGTATATCCACTCATTGATACACATTAATTATTTCTACACTAGGTATTAAATATATAAGTTACACACGTATGAAATTTGATATCTATTTTTACTATGCATAGCACATGTACACGTACACATATATGCACTGATAATTTATAGTAAAAAAAATGTTGTACATTGTATTAAAATCTAAAAGAATGTATAATATATATGAAACGTTTTTCTCTTTCTCTCTTTCATATGCTAGTAGAGATAGTTGATACTATAAAGATATAACCCATTTCTGGATTATAAAGTTCTGCATGATATTACTTGAATATGTATTTCTACGCGTGTATAAATATCGTCAATTTGCAAACGCATACATGTTCTTCCTTCTTTTCGAGGCATGCAACGTTAACTTTTTCAATGTCAGACAAGAAAAGTCCCATTTATATCTTGAGGGATTATCGCCTAAAATTTTCATCGTTTCATTGTATCATAAAATTGAAGTTGTACATCTTCCTTTCATTGTTCATTATTGTAGGATTAAATTTAAGTATTATTATTTCTTTAAACAAGTTTGTAAACGATGAAGCGCAGGGAGACAGCGATAGACAGCGTGGTTGAAGCGAGAAAAGCGCGTTTTCTTATTTTTCATGCAAAGCAAATATAGAAGACTACAGCAGATGAGCTACGCTCATGAGACAGACAAGCGATCACGTCGACTGAAAGATTGTACGTTAATAAACATTTCCTTTCCTGTTTTTTTTACTTCTCGCGATTTTGTTGTACCACCTTAACAAACCCTTACAACTGAGGGTTCCTCCGGGATAGAGATCGAGAGTAAGAGCAAGACCAAGGTGAAGAAATTGGAAAGGAAAAGAAGAAGGAGACATTACAATGGGTGACGAACGACGAAATAATAATGAAGACGATACATGACGAGTCGACGAGATGACTGTGGCTCAACTAAAAGAAGAGCTTAGAGGACGCAAGCTAAAGATGACGGGCAATAAAGGGGGTTCCCCCCTTAATGTGTAACGATCAGTACAAACAAACCGGATTACCCGTTCTTGGTAATCATAAGATACAATTTCGCGGGTTCAGGGGAAAATACCACGTTAAGTAACATGCGAATAAAGCTCGACCAAGAAATTTATGATATTGTGATACATGTTATTAGTAACGGAACGATTCTACGCGATATGCTTATCGGGATTGATTTTTTAATAACGTTAATGTGCACATAAGAAAAGGTGTTGGAAATATGTTTAAAATTATAGACGAATCCATAGAAGTACCTGAAGTCTATAAAATTGATGCAGTACAAGATGATATGATGATAGAATTGTCTCATAAAAAGATGAAAAAATAAAAGAAGAAGTAGGATATCTAATAAAAAAGTATAAACCTAAGAAAGAGAAAGACGTGAATGTTCAGATAAATATAGTTGTAAAAGATGATATTCCAGTTACTCTTAAGGAGAGTAGATTATCAGTCGCGGAAAAAGAATTAGTAGACTCACAAATTCGCGTATGGCTTAAAGAAAAAATAATACAACCGTCGTGCTCTGACTATGAAATCCAATAGTATTGGTGAAAAAGAAGAACGGCAAGACGAGAATATGTGTGGATTATCGAAGGTTAAATGAAAAGATAATCAAAAATAAATATCCTTTAATCGAAGATCAGTTGGATTTTTTACAAGGAACTAAGATATATAGTATTTTAGATTTAGAAAACGGATTTTTTCATGTAGCGGTGGGTGAAAATAGTCGTAAGTACACTGTTTTTGTTGTTTCGAACGGATATTGTGAGTTTTTGAAAATGCTATTTGGGTTTTGCAATTCTTCGGCGTATTTCCAAAAATATATTAATGCAGTTTTTCATGACTTGACCATAAGAGGAATTATCGCGTTTTATATGGATGACTTGATCATACCTTCGATAGATTTACAAGACGGATTATCACGGCTTAAGTTATTAAAAATGGCGAGCGAACACGGGTTATTGTTTAACTGGAAAAAATGTCAAATGTTGAAGTCAAAAGTAGAATATCTTGAACATATTATAGAAAGTGAAAAAGTCACGCCGTCTGATGAAAAAACTAATGCTGTAAAACATTTTCCGAAACCGACGACCGATGACGGTGCGCTCAGTACAAAGCTTTTTAGGCCTAACAGGTTTAGGCTAAACTACTTTCATAAGTTTATATCCCATTATATGTGCGTATAGCATGACCGCTAACAGAGTTATTAAAAGACTGAGATTTAATTTTGTAGAGGAACAGAAAGGTGCTTTCGATCAACTAAAAACGATTCTTAGTGAAAAGCTTATTTTACGCTTGTATTGTCTAATTGTAGAGACTGAACTACACACCGACGTTTCGGCCTTGGGATTTGGTGCAATATTGTTACAACGCGATAGCGAAGATCATATGCTTCATCCTATACTACGCGAGCGGTGAGATTACTCCTACAGAAACGAAATACAATAGTTCTAGACTAGAAGTTTTAACTATTGTCCAAGCCTTGAAAAAGTTTAGGGTGTATTTAATTGGAATACATTTACTATACAGTCACTGTTTGCAAAGTATTCACGCAAACTATGAAGAAAAAGGACATTTGTGTATAGGTGACACAATGGATATTCTTTCTTGAAGATTCCTAGCACTTAATCGTATATCATCCTGGAAATAGTATGAGACATATAGACGCGTTAAGTCGACATTCATTACCTACCGCTATGTTAATAGAAGAATGTGAGGATAGTCCTCAGGGACAGCTTTGTTAAAATCAGCTAACCAACGAAGAACTGAAAAATATCAGGAAGCAGGTAGAAGAGAACCAATCAAATGGATATATAATTGTCAACAGGCCAGTATGCAAAGAGGTCGATGGATAAATTCCAATTGTTGTACCGAAGTTAATGCAGAACTTGGTAATCCGACGGATTCACGTGGCCACTTCGCGTGTGTTAAGACGGAGCAATTTTTAAAGCCTGATTTCTGATTCAAAAATATGCGCTTAAAAGTCGAAAAGATAATTCAAAATTGTCTCACGTATATTATGGCGATGAAGAAGACAGGTAACTAGGAAGGACTGTTGCATCTAATCGACAAAGAAGCCTTGTTGGATACTCATCACATAGATTATCTTGGGCCTATGCCCATATCAACGTAGAAGAGATATCAATATATATTCGCGGTAGTGGATGCCTTTACGAAATTTACATGGCTTTATCCAACGAAAAATACTGGGACAATAAAAGTTCTAAACCATTTAATGAAACAATCAGCCGTTTTTGGAAATCCTAGGCGGATAATCTCAGACCAAGGTTCAGCATTTACATCTCACAACTTTAAATCTTATTGCAACGATGAGGGCATTGAGTACGTTTTAATCACTACTGGCACGCCATGAGGAAACGGACAGATCGAACGAGTTAATCGTACATTGCGTTACTGACCAAGCTATCAGCGCTTCAGCCAATGCAATGGCATAAACATGTTGCACGTACACAACAGTATCTGAGTCATGTCCCTACCAGAAGTACGGGAATGACGCCATTCCATTTCTTATTCGAAACAAGAATGAGACTTCGAGAAGATCCTCAAATTCGAAAGATGTTGGAAGCAGAAAACGCTATCATTTTTCAAGAGAAGCACTTATGAGAAGAGGACGCAACGTAATCCAGAAAATCCAAGCGGAAAATAGATGGAATTATAATAAAAAGAGAAAACCATTGAGTATATACAACGAAGGAGACGTACTAGCTATACAACGAACACAAAGGCAGACGGCTTAAGCTCTGTACAAGATATCTAGGACTTTTTACGAGAATCAAACGAGTATTATGCAACGATCGTTATATCGTGGAGAGACTAAGCGAAAGAGAAAGCCCGCGAACAACTTCAGTGGCCGTTGATCATATGAAACCGTGGGTCAATTTTTAGAAAAAAACCTCTACCAGAAAACGTCAATTCGGATGATGATAATATATCGATCAATAAGTCCTGGGACTAACTACTAAAACAACATTTGTTTGCCAAAATTCTTCTTTATTCGTCAACATAGTCTCCTTCAAGAGCGACACATTCATTCCAACGCTTTCCTAACTTTTTTATGCCAGCCGTATAGAACGATCTTTGGTTTCAAAATAGGCGTTAGTTTCGGCAATCACTTCTTCATTGGAGCCAAATCTCTTTCCCTGGAGCATCTTTTTTATGAGGTTTGCGAACAGCCAATAATCGCTGGGGGCCAAATCTGGAGAATACGGTGGGTGCGGAAGCAATTCGAATTTCAATTCATGCAATTTGGCTATCGTTACCATCGACTTGTGACACGGTGTAGCGTCACTGAAACCATTGTAATTCAATGGCACAAAGTCG